ATCAGATTCATTTCGATTATCTTAATATACAGAAGATCAGCTTAGTATACCTTAAGTAAGGATTTCAACAGTTTGCTCCCACACAGAAACATAAAGTGAAAAATAATAAATGATTTTTTTTAAATGATGATGAAATCAGATCAGACCTATTGTCATGTTTAATCCCAGTGAGAGTCAAGTTGGGAATTGATAATTTCTTTTTTTTTTTTTTTACAGAAGATCAGTTTAGTGTACATTAAGTAAAGATTTCAATCGTTTGCACCCCCATAGAAACACAAAGTGAAATATACTATTTGAGTACTCGTTATAGCATTAAGCCTCAGTGTACAGCACATTAAGGACAGAGATCCTACATGAGGAGTAAGTGCACAGTGACTCCTGTTGTTGACTTTACCAATTGACGCTCCTGTTTATGGCATCAGTAATCTCCCTATGCACCAGTCATGAGTTTCCAAGGCTATGGAAGCCCCTTGAGTTCTCCGACTCTTGTTTAGACACGGTCATAGTCAAAGTGGAGGTTCTCTCCTCCCTTCAGAGAAAGGCACCTCCCTCTTTGAAGACCTGTTCTTTCCACTGGGATCTCACTCACAGAGATCTTTTTGCCAGAGTGTCTTGGCTTTCCATGCCTGAAATACTCTCATGGGCTTTGCAGCCAGATCCGAGTGCCTTTAGGGCTGATTCTGAGGCCAGAGCCCGCATCATATGTTTGTGTAAAATGTACAACTTCCCCACTTGCTGAAGCTAGACCTCTGGAAATCAACTTGTTCTGTTTTTTCCCCCTCTGTCCAACATTCAAACCACCTCTAAGGCCCATGAAGTCAGCAGAACGCCTTTATCTGAGTTCTGAGTTTAATAGGAGCTCTTCAAAGAAAGGCCTTGGACATGCTCTTTTCAGCACTTTATTGGGAATCGCTTGTGCACATCAATGACATCAAAGTAAAAGTATCACTTTCACACAGCAATATCCTTACATCTGTGCTGTCTTCTCACATAATTTAATAAATGAATGCCAGGATGCTCCTGATTTTTGACATCAAAGAGCTTGGGTGTCCCAGAAGTATCTCTACATAAATATAAATCATAGTATCAAAACGAAACATCATTGTTGTGAGGTGGTTCCAACAGTCCTGGGAACATCTCTTAGAAGGCAGGGACCTGGGCTTGGCTGTAGTGCTGGTGGGACAGAGGGGATACACGTGGAGCTAATTAAAGCAGGAGGGACTGGGGGCACAGGGACAGAGCCCTTCTAGTGTAGGGCACTGCAGGGCATAGGGTCTGCAGATCCTGAGTGCTGGGCAGGGAACTCAGCCGCTCTGCATTTTCCAGCATCACCTGAATGTCAAAGTTAACAGACACATGAGACTCCAGCACAGCAAGAAGCCCATCACCCCAACTCCCTTGACCTTGCCCCAGAAATGGCAGAGCCCTCCCCCAGATTGCATAGGGGTAGAGATTCTAAGATTCTTTGAGGTTCTACTCATCTCCCTCCCTCTGCCATTCTCAGTTCCCTGCCAAAGGAGAAAATCTGAGGAATGATCTCAAAGAAAATAACTGTGACTCAATGTTCTGCGGTTCCCTTGGAATGAGGACAGGGTGCCCTTTGCTTGTTTGACCTGGGGTGGGGGGCACTGGCCAAGCCTGCTCTACCTCCCATGTCTCCCTCGCCACCTTGAAGGCCACCGTTAGCATTTAGATTCTTTGGTTCTTCCAAGCTTTTCCGCAGTCAGCGTAAGGCTCGTATCCCTGCAATGGCTTTGCTGTTCGTCAAGTCTTCACCTCCACTAAGTCATTTGTTTCTTACAACCCTATGAGGTAGGAAGGGCAGGGACCATGATCCCCACTTGAAAGACGAGGAACCTGGAACTCACAGAGTGAGGTCCCTCAGCCAGGTTCACACAGCAGCCCAGGGGCAAAACCAACACTGGAACTTAAGTCCCAGTCCCCAGGGCCCTCCCGCTGCCTTTCAGAGGACAGGGAGAGGCTTTCGGAGGGGACTCCTGTCCTCATGCCCCACCTGGCCCTCACAGGGCGGGTTCTCACACAGCTCCATTGAGGATGGGATGAGTCCGCATGCGATAGATGATGACTGCAGTGGCGGGGCACAGCAACAAGGAGGTCATGATGACTATGGTGGCCAGGATGATGAGGACAATGACCCAGATGTCCAGGATGTGCTTGGGGAGCACGACTTCCACAGGGACTTGGCTGACAGCATCCATGCTGCTATGCTCTGCAAGAGACAGGAAAGGAAGTCACCATGGTGTGCCCTCTCGCTGCCTCCGTAGTTGGAGGGAAACCTCCAGGAGGCAGAGGCTGGGCCATTTACCGGATGTGCGAGCTTCACTGTTCTCTGATCGGTAATGACAATGGCCTCATTTACTCAGGGCCTTCTACCGCCAGGCCTGTGCCAGGCACTTTGTGTCTGTTTCTTGTGTAAGATTAATTATTTATTTGAAAGTCAAAATTAGGGGGGAGGGGGAGGAGAGAGAGAGAGAGAGAGAGAGAGATGGAGAGGAAGGGATGGAGAGAGGGAGAGAAGGAGGGTGAGACACAGAGAGAGGGATCTTCCATCCACTGGTTCACCCCCTAGATGGCCGCAATAGCTGGGGCTGGGCCAGGCTGAAGCCAGGAGCTTCATCCAGGTCTCGACCCATTGAGTACAGGGGCCTAAGTACTTGGACCACCTTCCGTTGCTTTTCCTGGGTCATAAGCACGGAGCTGGATTGGAAGTGAAGCAGCCAGGACTCAAACAGGTGCCCAGATGGGATGCCGGCATCACAGGCTGCAGCTTTACCTGCTACACCACAGCTCTGGCCCTGGTTTATGTCTATTAACTCATCCAGTCTCACCTTAAGCACCAAACCTGCCAGGCTGGGACTCTAATTTCTGTCCATTTTTATTTCTTGGCCTTTATCTTCAATTACACCCATTTTACAGGTGATGACTCTACAGCCTTAAAAACATAGATGTCATTAACTTGACCAAGGAAGTGAACTCAGATGGCAGGGAATACAGAGCCTCCATGCTTAGCTGTTAAACTGCTATCCTATGCCTTACACTTAGGAGTAAGGAAAATAAACTACCATCCTACCAGTCTGTTCTCTCACCCAAAAGTGGGAAGTTGGCTGTTCCAGTGTTCTCTCCTGGTAAGAGGACACAGTCCTTCCTGGGGGAAGGGCACTCATCTGAGGACAGGTGTGGAGGCGTACCTAGGCTTGGCTGTTACAGATCTCCATGGCCACACTCAGGGACAGCCAAGTGACACCCAAGTCCTCCCCAGGGGTTCAGGCAAAAGCTGGGTGGAAAGTTGATTCCTTCTGCTGGGATTGCTAAATTGGAAGGACAGGAGCCTGGAAAGAATGGGCCTGAGGGCTTCTTGCCTGCTGTGGAGAAACTGCCCAAGAGAAAGGGAGACAGATGGAGCTTTGATGACTGACTTTGAGCACCTGATCCCAGCCAAGCCTGGTGCCACCCGCAACCCCGGACATTCCAGAAACCTAAGCCAACAATTCTCTTGTTTTGCTTAAGACAGTGTCCATTTGGTGTCTCTCCCTGGCAGCTAAAAGAACTCAAATGAATAAAGACCTAACTCAGTTGTCCCCAAACATTTTTCATTTCACAGCATCCTTAAGTCTTGGTAATTTTTCCACAGCACCCCAGGCCAAAAGAAGTCCCTAAGAGTTTTATTTATTAAGCAGTTAGGTTCAAACCACTTGGAAGCATGTTCTGTTTGTTTGTTTGTTTTAACTTTTATTTAATGAATATAAATTTCCAAAGTACAGCTTATGCATTACAATGGCTCCCCCTCCCCATGGAAGCATGTTCTAACAGCTTGGCAGCTATTTGAGGCCTAACAACTTGGTAGTTGAAAAATAATACACAAAAGTTGAAAGAAAAAATGTTATTTAATTCCTAACCAATTACTTACCAAGAGTACACGTGCACCTCTTAGGCAATGCACAACTTTTCAAACTTTGGAATGTGCCATTGTCACTTTTTATTCCACATTAATGTTTATACTGCACGTGCCATGTCACAGCCACCACCAAAAACTCAACTTCAGAAGACATAACATCACCAGAAGGAATGTAATGGTATTAATGTCGAACTGTAAGCTATCTTGAGCTAGGAGTTTGAGCTGGGAGACACCCAGTACCTCTATTTCTGTCAAGAATCTTGAAGGGTGCTACAGCATCCCCTCGCCCCTGTGAGTTCACCGTGGCTCCCCAAGGCTTCCCAGGGCACAGATGTGATACAATCCCATCCCAGAAGGCACAGGCTGGCACCAACACCCTCCTGCAGTTTCTTTCAAATCTCAGATTTGTAGTTCGGTGATGCCAGGTCCCATATAAGATTCCAAATTCTAGTCCTATTTTCTCCTCTTAGCTAATCACTACCGTTTCCTCTCTAATGCCTGTGATGCCATGCCCACTATTAGCACCCTCAGTAAGATATTGATCACTGTACCCAAAGTAGAGACCCCCAGATAAACACACAGGCCTGTTTCTGCATCATCTGTTATAGCAACTGACCAACCAAAACCGTCAGCAAGTAGTAAAATAAAGTAGGGTGTATCCATATAATGGGACACCATGCCATGACTTTCATGTATTCAACCATTCAATTCATAAATATATAGTGCTTACTACACATTTAGAATTGTTCCAAGAATACTGCTAGTATTAACTCATTTAATTAATACAGCATTGTGGAGAAAAGTATAGACGTTTCCCCCAAAATTAAAAATATAGCTACTGTATGATTCAGCATTCTCACATCTGGGTATACATCCAAAGGATTTGAAATCAATATATTGAAGAGATTGATGTACTCCCATGTTTATTTCAATATTAGTCACAATAACCAAGTTATAGAATCATCATGAATGGATAAAGAAAACGTGAGATATGGAGCTGGTGCTGTGGCGTAGCAGGGAAACTCCATTGTAAAGTAGGATCTCGGGCCCGACTCGTGGCAGATGTGTGGGTGCCCTGACCCCCTAGAGTGCACCCACACACGGCACACACAGTGCCCCGTGCTGTAGACTGTCATCCACGGTGAGTTCTCCATTTCCAAGGGCATTAACACAGCTCGAATGCATAAGATAGCTCTAGTTGTTAATAACACATAAACGTGTGAGCATCGCGCCTCTCACATCCCCTGCTGCGGGCGCTAGACCTGCTTCTGTTTGAGTCAGGTTCTGTTTTGGAATTTTTATTTCGTAGGAGCCCTCGGCAGAAAACCACTGCTTGCCAGTTATCTATTAACCAAAACCTTTGATTTGTAGATTTAAAAAGATTAACCCTCCAAGTTGTCTTCTAACTGCCTTGACATTTTGGGTTGTTCTGTTAATTTTCTTTTGCCTTTTGTGGGTGTGTGTGGGGGGGGGAGGTTGCTTATTTTTAAAAGATGTTTATTTTGGTGCCATAAAAGTTTGAAATCTTTTTCATAATAAATATTTTCCATGAACTTTTTGAAGTACTCTTGTACATGAAAAAATATTTTCAGAGTGCAGTCCTATGAATGTCACCCTTGAGGAGTTGGCCTAGGGAGAGAGGTGTTTGCTCGTTATTCTTCATGCTTCTAACCATTAGAATTGTCTAAATATCAGCACACATTACAGCAGTCTCCCCTTATCCACAGCTTTGCTTTCTGAAGTTTCACTACCTGTGGTTAACAAGAGGAGGGTGAGCACAGGATGGAAACGTCTTTTGAGAAAGAAAGGCCCCATGCACATAGCTTTTATAATGGCATGTTCTCATCATGTGAGAGTTACTGTTGCTAAGCTCTTACTGTGCCTTGTTTAAGAATTCAGCTTTGTCATAGTCTGTATATTAGGGAAAAAAGCAGTAGGGGGGCTGGCACCATGGCTCACTTGGTTAATCCTCTGCCTGCGGCACCGGCATCCCATATGGGTGCCAGGTTCTAGTCCCGGTGGCTCCTCTTCCAGTCCAGCTCTCTGCTGTGGCCTGGGAGTGCAGTGGAGGATGGCCCAAGTGCTTGGGCCCTGCACCCGCATGGGAGACCAGGAAGAAGCACCTGGCTCCTGGCTTCGGATTGGCGCAACGCGCCGGCCATAGTGGCCATTTGGGGGGGTGAACCAACAGAAGGAAGACCTTTCTCTCTCTCTCTCTCTCTCTCTCACTAACTCTACCTGTCAAATAAAAAAAAAAAAAGGCAGTAGGTACAGGGGTTTGGTAGCATCTGCAGTTCCAGCGCCCACTGGCAGTCCTGGGAAGCATCCCCGATGGAGGGGAAGGAGAACCGCACTCATTTTCTTATGACGACCGGGCTGGAGGGAACATAGGATTGGGCCAATTTTTCTTTACAATTCTCTGTTTAAAAGCAATAAAGACAGGAGCTGGCATTGTGGCGTTGTGGCATTGTGGCATGTGGATGAAGTGGCCCCCTGCCACACCAGCATCTCACATGAGTGTGGGTTCCTGTCCAGGCTGCTCCACTTCCAATCCAGCTCCCTGCTAATGCACCTGAGGAAGCAGTGCAAGGTGGCCCAAGCTTTTAGGCCCCTGCTACCCATGCAGGAGACCAGGATGGAGTTTCAGGTTCCTGGCTTCCTGGCCCAGCCTTGGCTGTTGGGAAAATTTGAAGAGTAAGCCAGAAGATGGAAGATTCATTCTCATTCTCTCTCTCTCTCTCTCTCTCTCTCTCTCTCTCTCTCTCTCTCTCCTTCTCTCTGTAACTCTGCCTTTCAGATAGATAGATAGATAGATAGATCTTTAAAACGAGAGAGACGGAGCCAGCATTGTGGCATAGCAGGAAAGCCTCCACCTGCAGTGCCAGCATCTCATGTGGGAGCCGGTTCAAGTCCCAGCTGCCGCACTTCTGATCCAGCTCCCTGCTAATGTGCCTGGGAAAGCAGAAGAAATCGACCCAAACGCTTGGATTCCTGTCGCCCATATGAGAGACACGGCAGAAAGTCCTGGCTTTGGACCAGCCCAGCTCTGGCTATTGCAGCCATTTAGAGAGTGAACCAATAGATGGAAATATCTCTCTCTGTCTTTCCCTCTCACTCTCTGTAAATTCTGCCTTTCAAGTAAATAAAAAAAAAAATCTTTTTTAAAAAAGAGAAATAGATATATACATAATTTTTATTTTTTTAATCTTTGGGAAGCACAGAGAGAGAAAGAGAGAGACAGAGAGAGAGAAAGAGAGAAGACACAGAAAAAGAGAGTAGAGAGAGCACTCCCATCCACTAGTCCACACAGGCTG